CGTGGATGCCAGGGACAATGTGGGAGGAGGATGGGACATGGCAGAGGGTGGGGGATGGGGAATCAAGGATGGCAAAACAAAAGGCAAGGTATGCAGGACATAAGAATTGGAAAATTATTTGCTGAGAACATGTATGTTGATGTGCTTGATTGAGCCAATGCATAGTGTATTTTGGATGAAAAATTCATTTGTGTGTTGTGATGGTGTATAGTGAATTAATGTAGAGAATGAATAAATTTAAAAGAAAAAAAAAGAAACACAAGGGGTTCATGGAAACACAAAGGTTCATGGAAAACACGTATCATTAAACACACCCCAAAAAAAGCTATGCATGGATTTCAAAAATGTTTTGCACCAAAATGCTCTTGTATTTTAATTCAATTTTTTAAACTATTTTTTGAGAGGTTTTTGCTATAGGCACATGCACTTGCCAGAAAGACAGAGAGAGACAGAGACACAGAAAGCGAGAAATCACCTCCCAGGGGGATGGCCACACCACAATCCCTTCTTCCCTTTCTCCTCTAGGGATCCTGGGCATGCACGCACACGTGTCTGGTGTGAGTTTAAACCACCGGGTTTGAGACTTGAACCGTGGTTGACTACATGAGAGTCCAGCGACACCACCATTATGACAACTGCTGTTCCCTTAATTCAATTTTTCCACTAACTTTTTGAAGTACCCTTGCATGGTGACATTCAAAGAAAAGAGACCTAGAAATAGTTTGTAAAAATCCAGGAACACTAGGATATGCAAATTTGTAGCAGAACTAGAAACCAAAAAAAGAAAAGATCTCCTACGAACCCAAAGCAAATCATAATTCTTTAACTTAATTTAAACTATAAATTATATAGAATTCCCACTTGTATCCTAGAGTTTAATTGCTTATAATGTATTTTCAGATTCTTGAGCTAGAGATATTACATACAAAGATTTATATTGAAAGCATCTCAATTCTAGATTCCCATTATCGCTGAAGTATAATAATTTGAACAAACATTGATAAAGACTAATAGGTCTACTCATTAGTCTCTGTACATATTTATTTCCTTAAGGTAATTACAGTATGTTAAATGAAAAAAAAAAAAGTTAAGTACAAGTTCTCTCATTAAATAAAACATTCAATGAAATGGAATCTAACTTTAACCTAGAGCCCAGTATTCTTAGCCTTGTCATCAAATAATCAGTTTTTACCAGATAACATGAAAGCAATAAAAAAAATAAGTAAAAGAAAATTCATTAACTAGTCATTGTTATCATTTGTTTTAGTTTTTTCCCTTCTCCCTAGTCAAATCATGGAAACCTTATTACAAATAAAACAGCTCTACTTACAGAATAGTGTATATAACTTTTTTTAAGAGCAATTTTTGCTATAGAGCATTGTGCGCTCACTGAAAAGACAGAGACAGAAAACAAGAAGCCACCCCCTACCCCCACCCCAGGAGGATGGCCATGCCACAATCCCGTCTCCTCCATTCCCCTCTCAGGATCTTGGGCATGCCTGCACATGATCCTGGCACGAGTTTAAGCCATCGGGTCTGGGACTTGAACTGCAGTCAACTACGTGGGAGTCCAGCAACATATAACTTAAAAAGTCATTGGGTGAAATAAGTTTCTGGAGAAATATGTATATAAATAATACTTACCATTTTAGAAACAATTCCATAAATGACAAGAAAACCAAAAGCCTAAGCTAAAGATGAAAACATGGACAAATGAATTACAACGTGGCAATTTTCCTTTGCTGTACGACACCCTCCTGTCACACCTTACAATATGCTCTTCAAAGTAAATGGATGTAGCAAGCAATGAGAAAGCTATCAGGAGGTGAGTTTATTTTCTATAGCCACTTAACACCTGCTCAGTTGGAAAAATAACACTTCTGACAAGTCTTCAAGATTCAATTTGAAGAAGATCATAAATATGTGGAAAAGTCCAAGGAACCGTTTTGTCCATTTCTTTCAGCTCAGCTTTCTCTACATGAGAGTACAGAGAGACTTGAAAAGTAAAGAACCCCACCATGATGAAGAGGAAGCAATCTGGCTGGGATTTAACAATGTATTGAACTGAAAAGACCATCTTACTCCAAGAACTGAACTGTTTCACAGGTGTAATTCTTTTCAATTACTCTTGGTAGGTAGGTAGGAGAGAGACATTGAGAAGAAAGTTTGGAAGAAGCAAATATTATTACCTCACTTTCCTAGGTGAGAATCCCAAGGCCGGCAGGAATTGATGGTGTGTCCACAGTCCTTCGACACGTCAAAAATCTAGTAATGATATACCTAAGACTCACTTTTCCCATGCACCACTCCCCCTGGAGACTGAAGATATATTTATTATCCTAAAACCATCTGGATCAAATTGAACTACAGAATTCCTGAAGACAATGTTATAATACCAGTGGAAGAATCAAGACAAAAAGGTGAAACTAGGTTCAGAGCCAGGTTAGAAGGTAATGGCAGTAAGTGCACGCCTCAACTCTATCTCCTCACCCATA